GCCAAAATAATACTAAATCTGTTTAACAGCATCAGTGTTATTTCAAGTCTCAGTCTTCCCTTGCCTTTCCTGATGCCTGCCAAAGAAAGTAGAGCTGCCTTCTGAAAAGGGAGTCCTCTCTGCTCTTGGGTCACAGTCTGAACCCAACAGCTTAATTCAGTGGTCTCCAAAGTGGGAGAATAATACATGTTGGAGCTTCAGTGTTACAAGTATATAACTTATAAATAAATATACATACCTTGGGCATGCATGCTCAGATAATTTTTACAGATAAGTGTATGCCCTCAAAAAAGTTTGGAGACCAGTGGCTTAGTGGACTACTGTTCTATGGGCTTGTCACTGTTCTAGAGGTTTTTGTGCTTAATTTGTTTCACTCTTCTGTAGACATCACCACTTCTTTCTGGCATTATTACTGTAACTGAAACCAAATCAGAAGTCTTCCTGATGCAGTATGCCATTCAGGAGGTATAAACAGAAAAAGAACATGAAGAATAATAATAGTGGGGTATAAGTGCAGTCTGTTCATCTGCAAAATGTTTGTGTGAAATGGAATTTAAACATGGAGCAAGGTACATTTTGCTTATCAGGACATGTGGAAGGGAGTGGGAATACTTGCAGGTTGCCCAGCACAAAGATATCCACTCTGTTATTTTCCATCAGAGCAGTTAGTCTTGCCTACCATAAATCACTCCTGTTCCAACATAGGGAAACTTTATAATTTGACCTTCTAGACCATCACAGGGAACCTGGTAAGAAGAAGGACAGGGTGGGGGGGAGTATTTACCACTATCCTTGAATGGTTTCTCTCGTCCCTGTGTTTCCAAAAAATAGAGACCACTTGACTTGAGGGGGAAGAAACCAGAAACGCAAACCTTGCACAAACCTGGTAAGAGGGGCTTCTCACACTTGGGAATTAAGGGTAATGTCATTACTTTGGGAGGCAGGCTGTTTTTGTCAGGAAACCAACAACAAGTTATCAAGACTGTAGGTGCTTAGTAGCATCCTTACTGTATAATTTAATATGTGGCAGCATCGTAGTAGTTTTGATTTTGTAGTGGTCAGTATGTTTTAAGATATACAGCCTGTAAAAATAACATCCCTCACCAGAAGCTGGGCAACTTGTTGCATTTTTTTCTTTTTGTTTAAGTTGTTTGGCAATCATCTGTTGTTTTCTCTGTTCCTGATATGTAAGTTAGATCATGCTGGTTCATCTTTTCTTGATACACATGATTGAATAGCAGTGACTCAGTCTCGGTCTCAACTTTAATTTCTTGACCTAGAAGCTATTACCTCTAATTGGGAAAGGTTGTTGTAGTAAGGAGATATGCAGCATAGAATGAGCATTCAGAAAGGTAAAGGCTGTTTCTCCTGAGTGCTTGTACTCATTTCCCTACACCTCTGCAGTACTAGTCAGAATTGCAAAACAAAAAAAAAAAAAATCAGGGCTTGGGAAAGAGGGCAAACAGAAATAGCCTCTACCCTTTCATTCTGGGGAAGGAAATGCTGAGGGGGAGCTGAAAGGAGTAGGTTATACAGCTGTCTATAAAACTCCATGAGAAGGCAGAGTACAGGAAAGCACTTTTGCTCTTCTGATCTGAAAATGTGTGGGAGCAAGAAAGGAGCTGCTGCCCAGAGGCCAGATTTAGTCCCAAAACATCATTTTAAAAGTTGCATGCATTCTTTTCAGTCCCCTCATGAAAGATACTAAATCCTGTGGAGAATGTGCATTGAAGTGCAACCAAGATGATAGTTTGTTTATGAGGAACCACTAAAAAGGGTGATCCTTTTCTCACTGAGATAAAGAAAATGCTGAGATGCCCTGAAGGAAATTATTTCAGAAGAGGGCTGGAAATAATGAAGTCAAATAAGCTGTTTTTAACTGAAAGGGAGGCTAAAATGCTTGTTAGAGTAAATATAAATCCATTCACAGCTGCTTCCCTTTTGAAGAAGGAATGAAGAAATATACGAAGCTCTATTTGTAATTTACAGCATTTCCCAGAGGTGCAAGGTTATTGAACAAATAGTGTTATTTACTAGATCTGGTCTTCTGAGATGCCCACAGAGCATTATTTTTATATCTCTTCAAGAGTGGTTTTAAGAGAATATTTAATAGGAGAGCATGCTAACTGTTAGTTGACACAGAAAGAGTAATCACGTTCATTATTTAGAGCTTGTTTGAAAGAAACAGAATGTGATATCATTGAGCAAAACAAAGTATCATAACTCAGTACAGAAGACAAAAAGTAGTAATTATGTTTTGTCTTGATATGAAACTGCGCACCTGCAAATGGAGGGGTAATGATATGCATTTCCATCCTTCTGCAAGCTTGGTGGGAAAGCAGGGAAGTGGGTAGCAACACACCATCCCTTGCAGCTGGGTCAGCGCCAAGGTGAAGTCCCTCAAAATGGCACTTGGATATCATTTTCTTTTCATAGCCAGGGAAACCAGAGGATCAGCTTGCACATCTCTCCCAGTGCCATGGCTGCATAGCTGTTGTCAACAAACTCGCAGAAATGCTCCTAGAATATGAGTGGCTGGCACACTGGCCTCTTGTACTGTAAGCCACCTCTCACAGGGATCCCTGGTGTGCAGAGTGGTTCATGATCCTTCTCAGACTAATGGGAATGAGACCATTGCAGGATCATGCTCCTGTTAGTTACACAGGCTGCTAGTTCAGCCTGTAAAGACCATTTGCAGCTGGAGACAAAACTTAGTTCTTCTCAGGTAAGCTCAGGTGAATTGGGCCCTGGATCAGCAATATTTCATTGTTCTGTAAATCACAGGATTGTAGTTGACTAATTTTACACAGGTGCTGATAGTGATTTTACTAGGAGTTTGTGCAGTATCAACAGGGGAGGAAACCTTTTGTTCAGATTTTTCTGGAAGATAGTTTCAGCTGATCTGTAATATTTTTGATGCCATATAGTTACACTAAGTATGGACTTCTTTACAAGATTTACCAGCATTTGGTAAATAATTAACAATTTTATGTTAAAAAAACAACCAAAGAAACCAACAACTGTAAAATGGGAACTAAGGTTTATGATATATTTTCCCCCTTCGTTGACACAGTTTCATATGCTGGAAATTATTCATGATACTATATCTAATCCATTTTTCAGTCTCCACTCTGACATTCTTAAAATTATGGTCATATTTTCCTCAGGGAAAAAATACTGCATATGTTCCCCGCACTAGAAATCTTTCCAAGTTCTCTTGCTTTTTCTCCCATGGCAGTGCTGTAAATGTTGGTAGTTAAAGAGTTGCCAGGATGTGAACTGACATTATAAATGTCAGAGGTCTGCCTGTGTGAAGGAAAGAAAGAGGCTGTCAAGAAAACGAGTTAAGCTTTTTTGTGGAAACCCCCCAATTGTATCTTTATTGAAAACAATGTAGATCTATAGCTGGTCTGTTACTGCTTTGAGAACTGAAATGACAAAGGAAACTTGAAATGGTTTATATACATTTGGCAAAATGTTTATTATTGGTTACTTAACGGGGAGGGTTTGGGTTATTTTTAACTCAGTCCTGTTTGAAAAGAACAATAGCATCCTAATAATTTAGCAGTGTATATCTTCCAATTTTACTTGAGTTGGACAAACTGAGGCCCTCAGCTTACTTTATAAGCCAAGAGAAGTCACCAAATGACACTATTAATAAAATACATTTTCTGTGTCCATTCACAGACTGTGAATTCCCACTCAGTCTTCTGTAGTGGTAGAGTTAGGTGTTCAAAAAATAAAAGTTTGGTAGTTTTGAACATTTAATATCAAAGGAAGCCAGTGTTTTAAATTTTCTGAAACAATACAGCTGTAGATTCCATGTTTTATTTTCTTTTTCCTTTTTGAAATTGAAGGCTGGAATTTCTTTACAAAAGATTAACTTCACTTCTTGAACAAATTTCATAATTATGGTCATGATAAGCCTTTTTTAAGTGGCTTACATCAAGTTTTACTTTAAATAGAAATTGCCTATTCATGGCATTAGCAGATTTACTTATAAAAGAGTCACATTTCTAATATTTTAATGAAAATTAGTCTAGAAAATTTATCTTTGAGAGCTCTATTAAAAAAAATCACTGCTAAAGACAAGCATTTGCAGATTTTAGTGTAAGAACAGACTTTCATCAGTGAGGTACTACGTTGAAAATCAATCACTTTGCAAAACAGAGGTGTCAGTCTTCAGCCCAGACCTTCTTCAGTCCCTGAGAGACCATCCTTGCAGTCTATGTATTCCTCCTCCACTCACTGGCATGATTAGATGTAGCCAAACATGCCCTTCCTGTGGGAAACCTTCACAGCAGGTATTGCTTTTGTTAGGAGTCTGCGAATGCAGTTGGAGCAAAGGATGTAGGGGGGGAGGACTTATCCTAGTAACACTTTCACAGTAAGGTGTCAAAAGAGCAGATATAAGTAGCCTTACAACTGATAAACCTTTATTTTACGCACTATTAATTGAAAGCACTCAGGTTTCAGATTTTGTTTGTTTCTGCATATCATATATGACTATATGCCCAGTGCTTGTAGAATAGTTTTGTAGAAGAGATGTGCTACTTGTCCTGCAAAACTTTAGAGCAATGAGGTTTCAATTACAGCAATAGAGGTCAGCTGTCCTCTTGGTCTCTGACTCTTTACTCTTCCACAAAACCAAAATTAACCTTTTTAATATCACATTTATATTCCACTTGAATTAATCCTGTGAGTATTGTTTTTGTAAATGTTATTTACATGTTGGACAACCGCAGGGTAGGATTGTATATCCTAGTTCACACAGAGTTCATAGTACCTATCCCCCAGTTTTCTTCATTGATTGCATGGACTTGACTTGAGAAAGAGGATGTAATTCAACAAAGAGCAAGGACAGCAAGAGCTATGTGAATGTGATCAAAGTCTTGCAGCGCCAAGAGCAAAAGGCAATTTAAATTGATGTTATCTGTGGTTACACTGCCATCTAGTGATACAAAGAATCATTGTCTGCTCTCTTTATTTTGTTTCTAAAGATTAGCATCTTCATGACACATTTGTCCAATTACGGAAACGACCGCCTGGGATTATACACCTTTGTGAACCTGGCCAATTTTGTTCATACCTGGACAAACCTGAAACTGAAAACTCTTCCTCCGGTTCAGCTGGCTCACAAGTATTTTGAGCTGTTCCCTGAGCAGAAGGACCCTCTCTGGCAGGTAGGCAGGTTTGATGATGAAAAGATTGGGGAAAAAAAATCGTCTTGATGGTGGTTTTTGTGAAGTTCTTTGCTTCTGTTTCTTGTAGAGTAAAGTAGTAATATTTATAGATTTGCTAGTTGGTTCCATAAAGCACCTCACTGATGCTTCAGTGTACTTGATTGTTTCTCATCACTTAAATCCCCATAAAAGGTTGTGAAATTAATATGTATTAAGCTGTGTAATTAAAACTATCTTTCATTTTATTTGTTACTTTTAGAAATGCAGGAGGTGCAGGAAAGACATACTGTGTTATTTCTCTTCTCCTTTTGGAGCTAACAGGTGTGAAGCATTTGGCAGAGAAATGTATATACGTACTTTAGCAATTGGCCATTAAAGAAATTAGCTTTTCTCTAAGGGTGTGAGGAGAAGAGGGCATCCAAAAAGAGAGAAAGGCATTAAGACCGTGGCTACTTTAATATTAAAACTGACTAGCCAAGTAAAAATAGATTAGATAAATAGGAAAGTTATTCACAAAAGGCTGAGAGCTGCCCAAACAGGTTTACCAGCACCTCATACATTGATGTTATCAACTCTGCTGCTTGATTATCCTGCACTCGGAAGTGAGTAAATTGAAAATATCAGGAATATGAAGACCCACTACGGCTGAAGCCTGCACTGACCATGCAGTTGGTACATCTCCAGTCCATCATCCAGCACTAAGAGCATAGGCCCTAAAGGGAAACAGCTGCAGCAAGTGGTGAACCCTGTTGTGTTCTTTTCTGCATATGCTCAGTGACAGTTCAACCAATTCAGTGAAATGTCCAAGTGTGTAGGTACGTGTGTCCTTACAGTGACAATATGTATGCCAAATACTATCGTGTTGAGGGTATTTGCTAGAAACATTCTAAGGAGCAAACTTTACTAAATCAAACATAAAAATGTATTTAAGCTTGCTTAATCCAATGTTTTGTAGTGCTAGATACTGAATTACCAACTTAGAATCTGAGTGTGAGACTGCAAATTTGGACTTACATATGCATCTTGAAATTCATGCTGTTATTGAATAAAACATTGAATTAGGAGAAAAAAAGTCAAGAATTTTGCATAATGTTAAGAGATAATTAATTTTAAAAATGGAAATCAGGCTGTAGCCAGGTGACTTGAAAAATTAGTATTGACTTAGAAAAGGCATTTTGTAAGTAACAGTGACTATTACATACTGAATGTGGTGTGGGGTGTCTATAATGCATGTGAATCTGAATGCAGTTACTTTTTTTTAAACTTCATCTTAGTGAAGTACTGCTAAACAACAGTATCAAAAACTGTTAGCAAGTAGCATTTCTAAAACAAGTTTAAAGTGCTTTAGTTGTAAAGCAGCAAATGAAAAAAACAAGATTCCATTAAGTAAATTTACATAAACATTATGTAAATAATGTAAATTATGTAATGTTACATAACACCAAGTGTTACGTACTGATTTGAATTCGAGGATCAGAATATGTATTTGTGAATGGAAAGACAAATTATAATTCATTTATTCCTTCAGTTTAAAAACTACAGCATGGATAGGATGGTAGCTGTTACAGTAATGTAAAAGAAAACATCAGGAACTAGATAACTGTTCAAGCCAATAACTAGATAACTGTTCAAGGCAGTTTCAAGCCTTCCTATCTTGTATGTAATTGAACAATTGATTTTGAATTATTCCCACAACTTAAGATGTGGGATCAGATTGTCTTTGTCACAATTCCACTGAACATACTGACATTTCATAGGATAAATTATCTTGTCCCAGGGTCTATTGGATATCCAGGACAACTATATACACGTAGAATGAAAACTACATTTCTTCAACTTACTTATCTCATTAAAAAAACCCAACCACACACTTAACAGATACAGTTTCTGGCTCAGTTACACTGCAGATACATTTCTGAATCACTGAAATAGTTTAATACATAGCATGGGTTTCTGTCATAAGGGAAAATAATTTTTTCAGGTAAGAGTATTTGTACATTAGTAAAAAATCTGATTACCAATGAAATTCTTAGTTGTTGTTCTCCGGTTTAGAATCCCTGTGATGACAAACGGCACAAAGATATCTGGTCGAAAGAAAAAACCTGTGATCGATTACCAAAATTCTTGGTTGTAGGACCCCAGAAAACTGGTGAGATTTTATTGTATTTCAACAAGATAGACTGTGTGTAAGTTCAAGTAATTATACCAAGTAATCACTTTTTACTGAGACTACTGTGCAGAGACCTAGATCATCTAATAGCATATTTTAGTTTTCAGATATCATTCAAATACAGCATAATAATGTAAGTTACAATAACAGACATTACATATATTGAAAATGCAGGGTTCAGGTGTGTGTCAGATTTTTTTGACTTTATGTCAAAATGAGTAACACTGATAAGGATATCAACAAGATGTGGAAGGACAAAAGGACAGCCATTTTTCAAATTATAGATTCTTTACTGCAAGTTCCTGTCTGTCCCGCAAGTGTCATGTTTATAGAAACTTGTTATTTCATAGCATTTTTTTCAAGTCAAGAAGTTCCCAATAGGCAGTTTGATTTGCAATCCCCAGTAGCTACTGACTGCAAAATTTTTAAATTATTTTTGTGACAGTCTTATAAAAAATAGTAATTGTTTTTAAAACACAGTTACTAAAATGTGAAAAGCAGATTTCTGCATTGGCACTCCAGTTTCTGTGTTAACTAGCTATGGTTCTTTATATGTCTTCAATTTAAAAGCACAGAAAGCACAGATTCTTAGGTGACATCGATCAGCATCCTCTCACTGAAATGAAATAGAAAACTGGTACTCCATCTAGGTGTACAACCTCTCCAAAAAATGTATGTGTTAATTTATTTTTTTTTAATCTTGGATTTGTATCCTGTTTGCAGGTACCACAGCCTTGTATTTGTTCCTGATCATGCATCCTTCCATCATTAGTAACTCCCCCAGCCCAAAAACCTTTGAGGAGGTACAGTTCTTTAATAGAAATAACTACCACAGGGGGATTGATTGGTAAGATGGGTTATTAGTATAAATATACAAGTTTATATATTGTGAACAATATGGAAATGATGTTAGTGTTAGTAATGGTTTCCATAGAGAGTGAGATAAAAGAAGACCATCAGTGTCCTTCTAAAATGATAAATGCAAGTAAATAACAATTTTATTACTGAATATCATAAATGCAGTCATTTTTGTCAGGCTTTTTTGTAAATATCCATTTATTAATATATGCAGAACAGTAACGTAATATATATTGCTCATTACATGTGCTGTTGAACTTGGGAAAGTAATAGCTGTTACTTGGATATATGTAGGCAAAATTATGTTCCTGTTGGAAATCTTATTTCTTAAAATAATACCAGGGAGAGACTTTTTTTTTCCTCAAATCAGGCAAAAGGGGGACAGGGAAAGCCTCTCAAATTGTTTTTCAAGGATCAGGTAATAAGGAGAATGTTAGTGTCTCTGCAGGTTTAGTAAGTGGTACTAAAAAAGAGTATGTATCACTCCTGCCATGTTCTATGACTACCGGGGTATCACCAGACATAGCTACACCCAAAAGGTCATTCTTGATTTCTCTTGCTTTCAGAAAGCGCTACGGTCTAAAGCACCACAAGATGAAAAGTGGTAGCATGCTGTAATGGTTGGGGAGCACCAGTAAAAGATTACTGGTGTTTTGTCTTCTTTCTTTCCCCCCACCCCCAGTTTAAGGGAAGATAGTTTTATTGCCTTTGTATTCATCCGTGAAATTAACAGGGTGAACACTGTTATATGGTCTTAGTGTAGATACATCAGATCCAATTTGGTTTTAAGTCACTTAGTTTTTACAGAGTTATAATTGTTGCAGCAGATTCTTACTGCAAAGAGCGGTGAGTCAGCCAGTTACTATCAATAGAGAGATGCCATCTAAATGACTGGAAATTAGAAAGCTAACTTCCTCCTGTTGAGATTTTCAAGTCAGTGAAGATGACATGCAAGCAACACACAGCAGGTACACACTGAAGGAGACAGCCTAAGTACAGTGAGCCAATTCTTCCACAAAATGCATGTTTTCATGTTGCTAGAAGACCACTTTGCTGCTTCTCTCATTCCTCCTGCCATATCCACTTTCCTGACAAGTAGATATAATTTAGCTGCTAGACTTGTGCCAAATTACCTTAATCTTAACACAGCATTGGTGCATAAAGCTCCCAGTGGTCAACCTGTATGGTCCAGGTTCGCACTCTATAGCACCCATTTGGCTATCTGTACCTCTGCACTACATGTCCCACTCACCTCTGCCGCTTCTAACAGTTAAGTCTTGGATAGACAGAACTACCCATTGGTGCAGTTACTTATTGCTTAGATTTGTATTCTGGCTGCCAGACAAATCTCTCAGACATTCAGTCTGATAGTATATTTTAATGCTGGCATGAAATGAGCTTACCAAATGATAGTTAGATACAAGATATCTCCTCATTAGTCCATTAATTGCCTGGGACTTTTTCAAGGCAAGAGTATTCATAGGTAACAAAGTCTGGAGGAGGGCCACAGGGATGATCAGGGGCTGGAGCACCTCCCATATGAAGAAAGGCTGAGAAAGTTGGGTCTATTCTGCCTGGAGAAGAGAAGGCTGCATGGAGACCTCATAGCAGCCTTCCAGTATCTGAAGGGGACCTATAAGGATGCTGGGGAGGGATTATTCATCAGAGACTAGTGATAGAACAAGGGGTTTAAACTTAAACAGGGGAAGTTCAGGTAAGATACAAGAAAGAAGTTCTTTACTGTGAGTTATTTACTGACACAGGCTGCCCAAAGAACTGGTAAGTGCTCCATCCCTGTCAGTGTTCAAGGACAGGTTGGACAGAGTCTTGGGCGACATGGTCAAGTGTGAGTTGTCACCGCCCATGGCAGGGGGGTTGGAACTAGATGATCTTAAGGTCCTTTCCAACCTAAACCATTCTATGATTCTGTAACAGTCAGCTCAATTTCTTCTATGGTTGTGGAGATACAGCTTTCTCCCAGAGCTGACGCTGACTTAGTCATTGTCCAAGCTTACATTTAGACCAAGGCTAACTACTGAAGCAGAAGAGGGTTCTTTCAGACCTTGGCAACCTCAGTACTGCCATCTTGAAAGAGGTATGGATGTACATTGTAGTCTCCCAGTAGAAATGAGAGAAGAGCAAGATGAGAACTGATCTTTCTATTCTTGAAGTGGAGAAGTCTAAATGGACCAGTCATACATTTCTTCATGTTACAAATTTCTTAGACAAGTTTCTCTAAAGCCTTCTCAGCTTTGCCTTTGTCAAGTTTAGTAATTTTCTCATGAATGAGGTACTGAGCAAGAGTTCTGCAGTGTGTGTTCAGCAGAAATGCTGAGCCTGAACTTCATAACCTCTTGATATCCTACTGGTCCAATCTCTTTACCATTTTTCATTGACACCACATCAATTTCTACTTTTTGTTTCCAAATTTGCCATGATAGCTAAAGAATCAATTCACTTTTTTTCCAAAATTTGCTGTAGTACCATATTTAATATGAAGTGTTTCCATACAGGGTTGTAGCCCTCATTGCTTTGTACTTACTCAGTCTACCAGGACTTCGGTACAACAGTGTAATGACAGCATACATCTAGAGCAGATTTGCCTGTAGTGCTTATTGACTCTTTCAAAGCTATCTGCCACCTTTGCTGTCAATTTCTGGTAAAACATTCTGAGATCACAGGTTAAGTCATTAGTTTCTGATAATTTTATTTGCGAGCAGAAATTGGTATAGCTTCATCACTTTCATCAAATCAGCTGTAATATTTTTGGGAAATAGAGTCCGTTGTTTGTTCAATGAAACAGTATCACATTCTCAAATATTTGCATTAGGCAGATATGAACACTTAATAAACTAACAGGGCAGCGGCATCCTTTCATTCTGTTTTCTTTGATCATCCTCTAATTTCAGTTTTTTTACATACAGTCTGCATGTGAGATGCAATAGCTATGCAGCTTTGTAGCAGAGTTTTTGAATGCAACTTTGAGCATATTACTCAATTAACTGCAATGTTTATGTAATGAGAAGAAAGCAAGTACCAAAGACAATATGATAAAAAATAAAACATAAGCTTCTGTTTGCTTTTATTTGGCAATGAGGCTTATTTTAATTGATTATTCTAGAATAAAATATATTTATATAAAATAACAGATTTTGCAACCTTTGTGTGACTTGAAAGTAATTCTGAGAATGATGTTACTTTCCTAGGTACATGGATTTCTTCCCCACTCCTTCTAATGTCACCACTGACTTCCTCTTTGAGAAAAGTGCCACCTATTTCCATTCTGAGGAAGCTCCTAAACGAGCTGCTTCCCTCATCCCCAAGGCCAAGATCATCACCATCCTCATTGACCCGTCCGATCGGGCATATTCCTGGTATCAGGTATGCATTTCGAAGTACACAGGCAGGTACAAATGAAGATTTCCACCTTGACTCCTCCTTGTATATCCTTTCAGGATATATGTATATAAAGGGTTTGCATAATAGCAGCTTTTATTCATCAGTGTACCATATATGATCACCTGTGGGCTGAGGTATCTGTCAGTGTAAACCTGAAAATCTTTCAGGGGTTAAAATGCCAGAAGCCACCTTTTCAAAATGGTAATACAAGCATGCAAAAATGCTTACTTACTCAATTAATTTATGTAATCAGCCTGTACAAATTTAGTTTATAGACACAGTTCTCTAGTTCATGCACAAAATACAAGATAGATTAAGCAGTTTTTTTCAATAAGACCAGACCTACCAGTTTTGTCTTACTTGCCCAATTTTTGTGGTCTGTAAAGTTCCAGCAATGTAACTTCTTTTACAGCATCAGCGATCACATGAAGATCCTGCAGCTCTAAAATTCAGCTTCTATCAAGTGATCACAGCTGGACCTCGAGCACCATCTGATCTTAAAGCTCTCCAAAAGAGATGCCTAGCACCAGGATTGTATGCTACACATATTGAAAGATGGCTAACTTACTTCCCACCTTATCAGGTGAATAAGACTGTAACTTGACATCCTAATCTCAAATATATACTATCATAAAATATTACCTTTGTAAAAGTTTGCCTAGAGAATACTGATCTGCAGTGATATCCTAGATATACTAGAGCATTTTTTAAGACATTAATTGTGATTCTTCATAGCTACGTGTGAACTTTAACTTACAGCTGGCTTTCATTTGCTCATGCTTTTATCACTCTATGTCTAGCTCTTTGTCAGGAATATTGAGGAAAAGAGAACCAGACATGCAGTGCTTTGTGGTCTCTTTAATATCAGATGTTCATCAGAGTTCCCAAAAGAAAAATTAAAGGGAAGCTACTCAGTTACATTTGTATCTACTCTGGTAGCAAGTATAAGTGAGCATCAAGGGATGTCAGCTGGGACGTTGCCCATCCTGTATGGGTTGAGAAGAGTTTTGATGTCTGAACACTTTGGGGTATAAAAAAAATACCTTTTCCATCTGAAATGGGGATTGCCACATGAAAATGGATATCATCTAGTGGGTTTGTAACACCATAATATTTCAATGCCTCAGTGTCTTCACCCACTTCTTGGCCCTTTCATGCAGAAATCTCCCTCAGGCTATGATTGTAAATAAACCTGTACCTGTGCAAGAGTTCACACTCTGTCCCACTGCTGGCCATACTGCCTGAATTTTAACACACTTATGGCACTATTTGGACTCATAGCAAAAAGCATATTGCCACACAGTTTCAGAGCCAAGTTAGAAGGGTAACACGAACCATTACCATCGGTGAGTGTGGACACAACCAATTTGGTTTTTCAGGCGAGATCAGGTCATGCTGTGCCATTTGACGTGGAGAACAGAAAGTTGTCTCTGATTTGTTTCAGTTAGCAATAGGGACAAAGCCTTTTTGCACGTCAGTGTGTTTGCCATCTCAGGCATCATCAGGTTGTTAGATAAATTTATGTTCTACCTAACATAACTTTTTTGACTTTTTTGTAACTTCTGTAGCTTAATCCCAGCTGGCAACTAAACCACACACAACCCTTCGCTCACTCCCTCCTGATAGAGTGGGAGAATTAGAAGAGTGAAAATGAGAAAACTCAGGGGTTGAGATAAAGATAGTTTAATAGGTAAAGCAGAAGCCGTGCACACAAGCAAAGCAAAATAGGGAATTAATTCACCACTTCCCATTGGCAGGCAGGTGTTCAGCCATCACCAGGAAAGCAGGACTCCATCATGTGTAACTGTTACTTAGGAAGACAAAAGACCATAAATCCAAACATCCCCATCCTTCTTCCCCCCTTTTTTTTTGTTGCTAGGCATGATGCCATATGGTATGGAGTACCCTGTGAGTCAGCTGGGGTCAGCTGTTCTGGCTGTGTCCCCTCCCAACCTCTTGTGCACTCCCAGCCTATTTGCTGAAGGTGTGAGGAGCAGAAATGGCCTTGACCCTGTAAGCACTCTTCAGCAATAACAAAAACATCCCTGAACTATCAACACTGTTTCCAGCACAAATGAAAAACATAGCCCCATGCCAGCAACTGTGAAGAAAACTAACTCTACTTCAGCCAGACCAGCACACTGTCAAAGTACTGGGTCTCTTTTTCACACTTTTTTGGGGGAAATTCTTACCCATTGCTGCCCATAACAGTGCATGTACATATCTGAGCCTTTGCTGGGACTTATTTATGCACTGAAACAATTTGGTATTCCTGATCATCTGCATTTGGTATCTTTCACTGATCCTTAATCCTCAGTGTATTCTTTGTGTTAAGACCAGTTTTTCTGTGTGTCTTTGAGCCTTGAAGTGTGTGTTTATGGACCTGTAGGTTTCTGTATAGATAGCACATAAGCAACCTGGAAATTGGATCTCCCTATAAGCTTCTTTGGCCTATAACATACAAATCATTAGCTTCCTTCTGGTTCTGTGTAAGATCAAGCCTCAAAAGATGCACATCCTAAGCCCTGAACATCATGTGTCATACACAAGACCAGGCAGACAATATCACATGATCAGTATCTCCTCAGTAGACTTATTTCCGGGATGGATTTTTTTACATTAGCAGTGTTTCTGGCACTACTCCCCACCCAGCATTTAAAGATTACTTCAGTTGAGGGAGTTTGGCTGCAATCTGAACCTTCTGTTTATCCAGGACTCGCTTAGCTGAGACAAGTTGGCTGGAGTCTGCACCTTCTGTTTTCCTAGTGTGCCAAGGAAACTCTGGTGCATCTAGTTGGTGTTGTTCTCCACATATCCTCTTTTGGGCCAGCCTTTGCAGACTTTATGAGACATGCAACACTGTAATATCGTGATACTCATATGAAATTCTCTACGTTGTATTTTCATTAGCTTTTCTTCAGAAGTCCATTAATATTGAACTATGCATATTGTCATACAGATTTTTGCCAGATTCTACGTCCCAGAACAATAACCCTGGTAGCATTATTTTTCCTCTGTAAAAGTACCAGGGATTAACTTGCATTGCAAAAGCAGTGATATACAGTAGGCCATATCCAAACTAATTATCAAGTTCAAAGAAGCATAAAACAGTTACGGAAGCCAGACCTAAAATCAGCTCATCATAAAAGCCTTATCCAAAACTATGAGAGCCTTTCTTCAGCAAAAGATCTCTCACCCAGACCATCTAAGGCTGTCTATAATTTTTAATGCTGTATAAATCTGAGAGGTCTCTACATAGAACTGAATTGAAGTCTTAATGTCCATTGTAAAGTTGGTAGGTATAAAGTAAGTGTTCAAGTAGCAACAGAAATTGGTAAGGGTCCCCTTTGCATTAGAAAAGTGGTAATAGCACACTTGCCTTGCATGGTAAGAAATTGCAAATCTCAGAGGATTTTGCAGATTTGAGGTTCAGATGTTTAGAAGGCTGATTGACTTAATTTATTATCTCGTAAGTGATACAAAAATCCTCTTTTTTCTGGCCACCTAGCAGATCTCTAAAAGTTCGGGAAGCTAATGTCTCAAGTTCATTTCCCACCTACAACTCATTGCTTCAATATCATCATACAGAAGAAAAGAGGACCTGGTGTGACTCCCTCATGAGCCAAAAGATTTGCTCGTGTGCCAGCCTTACAGGAAATGAAGCTGATTTTTGCAACAGCCATCATTTAATGGCCAGTCTAAAGCTGATAGATTCAGGCTGTGTCTGAGCTGTTCTATTCTCCAAAATGTCTCTCTTGCTCCTCTCCCACCGTGGTGACTTTCAAACACAAGATAACTCATTTATAGTGGGAGAGCAGGGACTTAAACGATCTTTGTGAGGATGGTGGGGCACTGGAACAGGTTGCCCAAAAAAAGTGGTAAATGCTCCATCCCTGGCAGTGTTCAAGGCCAGGCTGGACAGAGTCTTGGGTGACATAGTCTAGAGTGTGGTGTCCCTGCCCATGACAAGGGTGGTGGAACTGGATGATCTTAAGTTCCTTTCCGACCCAAACTATTCTGTGAGTCTATGATTCTTCAGCTGCCAGCAATTTTACAGTAAAATGATCAATATGATGTAAAGTGACTCAAAAATACTTCATCTGTAGTATTTTCATTATATATGAAGCTACCCACTTTGTCAGAACTACATTAAGTTTTCTACCTTTCTAATACATGAAATGCTTAGATTTTGAGGAATTTAATGAAGTTAACATCTTCCTGAGATCAGGATATGAATGAATCAGTACAAGTAATAAAAAATTTTGCTTCAGTTCCTTACAGCCTCTCTGGTGGTTGAGAGGGAGCATTTTTTGTTACCTGCAACATTGGGAATGTCAGGAATTGGAATGAATTTCCATTGGTAAAACTTTCTTCCATGTCTGTTTTAGGGCAGCAGAAGTAGGAACGGCCCAGATATTTATCTGTATGTGATTTTAAATAGTGAAGAAAAAACCCTCACTCCTTTTCCTTCAGATGGAAATATCACCCATTTGAGATGGTTTTTTGACCTGTTCTTTTGAAGCACTTAAAGCCTTGTTTTCAAAGCTTATGTCTTAGGAAAACAATGAGTTCTTTCATGCATCTGACTGCAAAGACTTCTGGAATGGGCTACTGCTTTCTGAACAGCCTGATACTTCCACTAGTCCACATCTGTATGGGTAATTCCAAAGACCAATCTTCTGAAAGAAAAGATGTTTTTTCCCTTTTGATTATGCTCTGAAACCTCATAGTCTTGCAAACTTTCATTCAGTCATGGAAGAAATTTGTATGATTTTAGCCTTTCTGTTTGCATGGAAATTTGAAAACAAGCTTCAGCAGTGCTTGCAAAAGGGGACTCTTGAACCCCCTTACGAATCTATTTCCCCTCTTCTTTTCATTGTCATAACAGAAAAAATAATAGAGGTGTTTCCATGACAGGAAACGAAGGCTTGACTAACCCATTTGGGACTTCGCTTGTCTTCCAAGAGTCACAAAGACCCAAACTTGCAGCACCATCAGTGTGGCATTTGCCCATGATGCCACACCTGAGAAAATTCTCAGGTAGTGTCTGTTTCCCTGAAGATTCACTTTCAGGTAAAAGAGTGTCTGTGTCTGAGGTAGCCTTCTGTGAGGATATGTATGGTCAAGCACTTGAAGAGAAAGAAATGACCTACCAGTACCTGCCTTTCTTAGAAATGTGTTGCACATCCTCTATCTATCTATCTACATTCCTGCCTTGAGGTCATCATAAATCTGCCTTTAATATTCTCAAAGGAGGGGTTTTTTTTCAACATATTATGTTGAATATATTCAACATATTTCAACAAATATGTAGGGTTGTATGGATTTCACCTAACATCATCCTACCTACTGTTTTCTGTTTTTCTGGTCATTTACAGTGACAAGCTGTTCACTATTACTGTAATATATAGAATCATAGAATAGTTTGGATTGGAAGGAACCTTAGAGTTCATCTAGTCCAACTCCCCTGCAATGAGCAGGGACATCTTCAACTAGATCGGGTTGCCCAGAAACACATCCAGCCTGGCCTTCAGTGTCTCCAGGGATGGTGCATCCACCATCTCTCTGGGCAACCTGGGCCAGTAGTTTACCACCCTCAGTGGAAAGAATTTTTTTCCTCACATCCAGCCGGAATCCTCCCTTTTTTACTTCAAAAAACCATCACCCCCTTGTCCTGTCACAACAGCCCCTGATAAAAGGTCTCTTGCCAACTTTCTTATGTACTGAAAGGTCCCAATAAAGTCTTCATGATTCTGTCTGTGAGAATTAGAGGTTAGATCTCTAGACATTACTTTTTTTCTTGTCTAGTCAAATCTCACTCAATTTTCTGCCAATATTTCTTATCTTTCTAGGTCCTTCACTGCTATTTCTCTGTTGTCACAACCACTTCTGTCCTGGGTTCAGCAGTAGCAGTCATTTTTCTCCTTCTTAGTAGCTGGTGCCGTGCTGTGGTTTTGACTTTCAGCCTGGGAACAGCACTGATAACACCGATGTTTTCAGTTGTTGCTAAACAAGAAGTAATGTTTACTCTGACCAAGGAGACTTTCTGAGTCTTATGCTCTGCCAGGGAAGAGAGGAAGCCAGGAGCAGAGACAGGACAGCTGACCCAAACCAGCCAAAGGGGCATTCCATACCACAGCATGTCATGCCCTGTATATCAACTGGGGGCAGTTACCCAGAAGGTCTAGATCACTTCTTGGGCTGGGTATCAGTCAGTGGGTGCTGAGCGGTTGTATTCTTTTCCCTTGTTATTTCCCTTATCATTATTACTATTGGTGGTAGCAGTGGGTTTGTGTTATACCTTAATTACTGGACTGTTCTTATCTCAACCCATGGGAGTTACATTCTTCCGATTCTTGTCCTCATCCCGCTGGGAGGAGAGGGAAGAAGAGGGATGTGAGAAGAGGGCTGTGTGGTTCTGAGTTACGGGCTGGACTTAAAGCATGAGCTTCCAGTTTAATTTCAGATTTAATTGACATGCCATTTACCCTGCTCCCAAGTCATTAATGATGGTGACAATTAAAACTGGACCAATTACCATTCTCTAGGGCAGTACTCTCCATAGAATGAATGAGTTGAGAGAGGTGGAAATTTCAGTTTAAAGCTTGAAATAATGGCTTTTAAAAGGACATCTATTTTCTTTGTTGTAGTTGCTAATTATTGATGGACAGCAGCTGAGAACTGACCCGTCTACTGTAATGGATGAAGTACAGAAGTTTCTGGGAGTCTCTCCTCATTATAATTACTCTGAAGCCCTAACGTGAGTTAATTTCATCATCATTTTCACGTATTTCAACAATCCTAAAATACAAGTTAGTAAGTTATAAGTAAGCTCACTGCAAAACAAAGGCTCTCATACTTCTCCTTTGAGCTGGCGGTAGGATTTATTCTTCAGCATCTGCAAAAAAAACAGTTCAGGGTTAGATTTTCTGTGAATCATCTACTGAGCTACTGTATGTGGAACTTGACTGTTACAGAAGTAGACCTCTAACAAATGGAAAAAGTACTGTTTTGATGGAATTGCGTATGAATTTTGGATGAATCAAAAGGAATTTTATTTCCAGAAGTAGAACATGGAACACTGACTTGCATAAACAGAAAAAAATTGTTTATTTTTTACATTAGCTGCAAGACAGATTCAGCAGGATCAGTCAGAAATGTAACATCCACATCCTAAATACCCATCTTTTGGATGTGTAAATACACAAATCCCGGATTCTGACATTTATATTTGGTTGCCCTTAAAACAGATAACCTTAGGTTTACTCTTTTGATTCTTCAGTCTGAACTTGGGAGATGCATCCTCCTTGCAGTATCTCACAGCCTTCACATGCTGCAAAATACTTGTTTCAGGTTCGATTCACATAAAGGTTTCTGGTGTCAGCTCCTGGAAGAAGGAAAAACAAAGTGTCTTGGAAAGAGCAAAGGTAGAAAATACCCTCCTATGGATTCTGAGGTAAACCATTATGCTCATTGGCATTATAAAGGGATTCAGTTGCCACATGTGGGAGACACCACACAGACAAAATCATAAGAAGGGAGAGAAGACAAAATTAAGTAGACATTATTTATTTGACTAGCTTTCCATAAAAATGAAGATAGCTGTGGAGTGCATAGAGTTTTTCAGTTCTTGATTTTAAATGTGAAGAATATAAATAATATTAAAAAAAAAAAAAAAAAAAACAGCTCTTAAAATTTGGCACCTCTTAATATTAATAAGATAAACTTGGAACCCCTGAAATTCACTTGGAAACCTCTTCCTTTTACCTAAGTGACTTAAGTAGCAGAGACTCCACAGTGCTTGGTTTTTTCTCAGTCATGATCAGATATGTGTATTTGTGTCTGGTCCCTTGTCTTTGAGAGTAGTTAGACCATGACAACACAGACTCTCACATAATCCAGTTTTAAGAAAGGTTTCTGTTTACGAGTTTTATAAATGGCTTCCCCAGACAGATGCTCAAATGAAGATATTTCCATCCCATCAAACGCTATGGCCTTTACCCAAGGGCAGTTTAGTCTCCTATTCTAACTGTAACTTTTATGTTTATTCTGTCTTGTATTCCCATTCCATTTAGCCTGACTAAAATGCATATAAAAACCTACAGTTTTGAACAGCAGTAAGTATTAATGCGGCAAGTAAGCCAGGACTTCTTTTTCATAGAACTTAAAAGTAACTTTACATCAGTAGAGTTATGATACTGATATGAAATCACTGGGTGGGAAGGCTTTTGGCCAGAGATGAGAGAAGACTATATATGTTTGTACTTTTCAACTCTAAATACTTCTGAAAAACGGATTACTAATTGATACATGCCTACATATGAAGCTTTGGTTTCAGTCATTACTTAAATAAATTCAAAGTGACTGCATCAGAGTGTGAATCTTAATGTACATGACTGTCTGAGAGCAGAATCAGATCCTTTGCTTTGACTTCAGTGTTCATTTTTGACAACCTTTGTTTCTCTTGAATTTACCTTCTATAGTACAACTCCTAACTGAAAAGCTTAAACTTGCATGCAGTAGATAGCATAAGGCAATATAAATTGCTTTAAAGAAAGTAAAGTTTTGACCCGGGTAAAATGAACTTCTAGAATGAAACCTAGAATTCACAGTAACTGCAGTAAGGCATTTTCTTAAAGTATTTATTTTTGTATCCCATCAGTGCAGGGCTTTTCTGTCAAGCTACTACAGAGATCACAATGTGGAACTGTCAAAACTCCTACACAAACTGGGACAACCCCTGCCGTCATGGCTGAGACAGGAGCTACAGAAAGTAAGATAGCATTGAAACACAGCTTTTTGAAATCTCTCTTCCATACTTCAGTCATCATATATGAAGTCTCCAGGAGCTACTAGAAGGTCTTGTAAAATATACTTCTTCAAAAAAGAGTAAAAGATAGATAGAAATTATTTCCATGTGCTGGCATGTGGATTGTGAAAATACATGTGTTTCTTAGAGTTCCGGTGGGCCAGATCTTTCTCACAAACATTCCTGGGCCTGTGGACTTGTGGACCGCTGTGCACATATGTAGAAGTTATTTGCAGCTGGTATAAGTTTGAGATATGTGACCTGTCCAATTTCACGGTAAATACATATATATATACACGCACATTTTTATATATCAGTTTAAAAGTACTGTGTCTCATGTAGGTTTTATAGCCCATTGTTAGACCACTGACAGTTTTTCTTACTGTTTGATTATCGTCTTGCACAAAGTAAGAAAACTTGACGTAGCACAAAAAATGCCAAGTGTACTTCAGGGTTAGAAGTACAGTTATTATATGTGATTTAGCTGTGCACAGCAACAAAATACACGGAGCAAAGTATGGAAGCCACAGGCAAATGCAATGTAGAAACACCCCCCACTCCCACACCCCCAAGAAAACATTGCCTACGATTATAGCCTGTAACAACATACCCTTACAATATGGTAAAGACCTTTGACCACAATTAGTGTGTATGATTTTGGACTGACTGAAATGGCAAAATACAGAATATAGTCATTATCTGAGCAGAAATTGAATTGGACATGTGAAGTACAAAAGCTGCAGTATAATTCTTATGAGCAGTATTTTACTTACACAATTGTGAACGAAACTGAAGTAGTGCAATGAACAGGCTTTTACTCCTGGCTTCCACAAGCAGCCAGACACTGCCCTCTGGGCTTACATTGCTGTGAATCAGGAGCAACTCTGCTGAAATTAATAAAAAACTCACAAAAAGCAGAAACGCATCCATACTTAGATTGTCTTAATTTGCACCACTATTTTTTCCTTAATTTATTTGCCTTCAGTCTCTATGGTTTGTATATTCTAAGATCCCTCAACCTAATCAAAATCATAGCATCTTTCAGCAACCTTCAGTTTATGTCAGCTGCAAAAATCTGTCACATTTCCAGATGAAAATACTGGTTCTGGTTCCAGATGTTTTCAGCATGTTTTGTATTAAACATTAGGAATAATCTGTAGGGGAAAAGAAATAAACACAGTATGTAGTCATGGTAGAAAATTACACTCTAATCATGGGAGACACAAATATCCAGCCTTATGTTTATGTCATACATTTCAATAATACATCTCATAGTGTATCAGTTGAGATGTGAGATAAAGTCTAATTAATAGTAAGAAAAAATGGGGAAAGAGGATGAAAGAAAACTTCAGCTGAGGATGGCCTTGCTGCTTCTCCACTGAACTTTGACTGAGTGTTTCTTAGAGGCATGAAGAGGTAGTGAAAATGAAACAGAACTGCAGTACTAAATGCAATGCTTTTTACAGTAGCTGTATAACATTATGATTTGGTTTAGGGTGAATAGTTAAAAATACACATCAAATGGTGGGAAAACTTCTTGTGTCTCAGTGCTGCTTTCCAACATTTATGTAATCATATAATTTAACTTTCAAGGTAATAGAATGGAAACCAGTCTGTTATTCCCTAAACAAAAAAGGGATGTTGAAATCCTTACTGTACCTCTAACTGGTAATCTTTATTATTTATTGATTTTGTAATATGTGGTTTTGATAGGTCTGTAAAGAAAAAGGTCTAGGCAAATTTGCTGTATTTAACAATATTCTTTACACAAGTTTTTGCCAAGGGAAAATGCATGAGTAATGATGAGGACCTTCTAGAGTAGACATTTTTAAGATTAACATCTTTATTATTTATTAGACAGAGTAAGAGCTTTCATTTCACTTTAAATAGTCACTGTCATATGGATTTGTCCCAGAGGCTGACTTGTGAAGTACTTTTTATTTGATAAACATTTTGGATTCTGAAGATCTGTAAAAGCAAGTACTCTGCGTGCTATGGACAGCTCATGCCTCCTGCAAGCTTCTATATGGATTTGCTACAACGAAATTGAATAACTGGAGAAAATACCTGGCGTTTTCATCCTGGTATGATTTGTTTTACCCTTAATATAACCTGATGTAACTTCACTCAAACAGTTTTTGAAAAATCCACAGAAGGAATGGGCTGCCACATTGATAGTTCATTCTTTAAGAACTCCCTTTCTGTCTTATTTCTCTGGGAAGCCAAGGCACCCACAAAATGAGAATGAGTGGATAGTCAGGCACAGTGGTGATAGGGACATGCATTCAGTTGCATTCTGCCTCCAGAAATTTTACAACAGACACAGTGACATGTCTTAAATCTGTGAAGTACTGTGTGAGTACTCACTGAGGTACAGTAAGGAGCCCACTACAATTGTTGATGATCTGCTAAAATAGCCCAACTGGAGTCACCATGTAGCACTGCAGAGATAAGCGCCCGACATGCATGGCCTTGGCTTTGGCCTTGGGTGGATTGGGTTTGGTTTGGCAGCTAAATACAAAGCTCATTCTCCAGGAAGAAGTGCCACAGTGACTCTCAAGTCCTGATGAGGAACAGCAGGTTGGAGCTCTTGTATCATCCCAGTGCTCTTCCTAAAGGAGGGAACTGGAAACAAAATGAATGAGTTCCTAGGGAAATCTTCGGTGGATTCATGTGGTAACTTTACCTGACTGGATATTGTGAACAAAGTAGCTTGACCTGGAACTGCATCTGAAAGGGCGTAATCTTGAATCTCCATTAAGTCTGAGCTACTGTTCTGATGCACCTGTTATGCACTAGCATCTTTAGAAACAGTGCTGTGGGATTAGCTTCTTGTATGCTGGGAGGGCTAGTCTCTGAAACAAAAGCAATGGAGAAATAAAGGCAACTGCTGGTGCTTTTTACAGTTCCAAATTTCTGATGCTCGCTTATTACTTGTTAATACAGAGATGGTATGAAGCAACTTTTTTTTTCTCAAGAACTATTCTGTTTAAATATGTTCTTACATTTAAGAGGAGACTTTAAAAAAACACTACTTTTAATGTGCAGTCAACTTGGTGAAGAATGAAGAGTCTGAGGAAAGCATGCAGACAACAGCTACATGTGTTATTGCCCAAATCATAGGATGCACAAGTACAGCTGAGTAAGCAAGTCATACAACGTGCATTACCTGACAAAGTTTAACTACTTCTGTTCAAAGCTTACTTACAATAGGTGTTTGATTTCCAGAAATAGACTATCAACACTCTTAAAAAAAATACTGATTCATTACAATGAATTTATATTTGCTAGTCAAAGTCAGATATGTTGTATTGTGGTTGATAACACAGCCACGGTTTCTGCTGTCCTGGTAGATAACTGCACAATTGCTTGATTATGTGAGCTTCACCTTCATTTTCATAAATATGATTCTGAAATTTACTTTCTGCAGAATTTGTGCTATTAAAAGTTAATGTGTGACTATGAACAGAAAGTGACCATTACAGGGGGTGTAAAAGGGCCTGGTATGAAATAACTTAATTATTTAAGCAAACATTGCTGAAAATGCTGTTGATATTTTCTCAGTTCTACTACTGCAGAAAGAATTAGTCGCAATGATTTGCAGACTTTCTTGTACAGAATATCCTTTTTCACTGCTTAAAAACGTGAAACTTCCTCAGGAAGAAATTAAATAGGTATTTCAGTGTTATAGAGGTAATACTCTTGTCATTCACATTGAATGAAAATTGCTGGAAACATTTTTCTCAAAGTTTTTTAAAATAAAAATAGCTATTATTCTGATAGTGGCATGGTATCTGAAGTGCAAGAATAAACTCTGATAAGAAAATGCAGTGCTGTGTGGAAGTGATTTTTCCATTCATAAAAGCTGTCCTTTTCCAGGTTACTTCGCAGCTATTGTAGCTTGACACTGAGCTACAACAATCCAAGAGCATGGGAGCAGCATGAAATGTTTTCAGAAATCAAAAATAGTGCTTACTCGCTCTGTAAGTGAATGTTACTGCTTTATGCAGCTGCTTGTTTTACTGCTTTTGCTTCCTGCTTACTTTTTTTTCTTGTGCCAGAAGTTGCCAATGTGCTATAGAAACATTTCCAGAGCTTGCTGTTTTTAATATAACATGTGGACTTTATTCAAATGATTTGCTGTGGGGATTCAGTAGTTGTGCCAATGATCAGCCTACACAGAAATGATAAAACCTTTCTTCAGAGAAACCTCTAAAATGGTATCAATGTGCAAAGGAAAATTCACTGTTATCAACAAATTTGGAACAGAACAGGAAACTGTATTACCTATCTGGGCAAAAGCTGCTTAATATCTTCATCGAGGTAAAAAAACTAGGAAACCTATGTTAAGACAATAGTCCATTCATCACAGAGAAATAATGCAACCTGTAAGTTAGAAGCTGCTTTTATAATACCTGTTTCTGTAATCTCTAAGAATTACAAAACTGGAATGGTAAAGTAGTAACAGAAAAGCATTAAGCAAAGGGAAAAAGATCTTTTCTACAAGTAACACCTGCCTGACCTCTGTCTCAAGTTTATCTGCTTTCATTTACTATTTTTTTTTCAGTTCTTCCAATCCCAAAATTCTTAGTGCTCAAAGGCAAAAGACATTTATTTTGTCTCTGTGGACCACATGGATGAAGAAAGCACAATTGTCAGCATCAAAGGATAAGTCACAGGAATGGGGAAGCAATTAACAGCTGAACCCAAGGGTTAGGGAAGTCTGAGTAGAGGGGGAATTTAGACACATTAAGGTGATAGATTTGAAAAGCATATAGTGACTGTGAGCCGTCATGACTCTGTTTTCTGTCAGGTTATTTATTTCTTTTTTAACACAGTATTTTCATTCTTCACTTCCCTTTTTCTGTTCTGATCTTCTCTTGAGAAATTCAGATGGGAAGTAAGGCTTATGCACAAACACACAAAAACCAAACAAATAAAAACCCAAAAACATCTTTTGCATAACTTTTATAATACACAGTATATGCGTTTTAGCTATAGAACTCTGTCTGGAAGGAAAACATTATGAGCTGAAGGCAGGAGCCAGCTCTTTTATGCCTGTGACAGTGGAAATAAAATTCCTGAACACAGATGGTGCAAGGTCAGAACAGCTGAGGTTTAGCTTATGGCATAGGTAGGACTGTAGGGTGTGTTAGGCTGTAATTTGCCTCCAGTTTTGTACAATCTTAGCTGCAGTTTTATTATTCTGCAACACTGCCTGAAAGTCATGTATTTGAGGCAGTAGTATTACGTCATCATCATCACCTTAAAATTATGAAAAACCTCTAACATCACAGATAGGCCTTAAATAGTTTCCTGTCTTTCCCATGGGGTTAAAAAGGTAAGAAATGTGATACCACAATATGAGCCCAAAGGCAGCTTCCAGCAGTACAGTAGTCCTCACTTCCAGCCTCTTCTTCAAAAACTTCCTAACTATTCAAGTAACAAGTCATCCTGCTGTAGCTGATTGAGCCAAATTTTCAGTCCCCTGGCTGGGTCAGTTCACTGGCACGTGGCCTGCAGAAGTCAAAATTGCCTGCCCATTCTTCCAGCATGCCCATGCATGGAATATGTACCTTTGAGGCACTGGCTGTGCCAAAGAGCAGTTTCTGTGGCCTGTACCCAGGTTTAAAAACCATCCTTCCCTGCAGTGAGGGTTACTGTACCAGTACTTGAGTTATGACACTGTGGTGTAATAATAAGTATGGTAATTGGGGGAGGTTTAGGCTTCACGTGAGGAAGTATTTCTTTAGCAAGAGGGTGGTCAAACACTGGAACATGTTTCCTAGAGAGGTGGTGGATACTCCAAGCCTGTCACTGTTTAAGAGGTGTTTGGGCAATGCCAATAACAACCTGCTTCACTTTTGGGCAGCCCTGAAGTGGTCAGGCAGTTAGACCTACAATAGATCAATGTAGATCCCTTCCAACTGAAATAGTCTATTTATTTTTTACTCTATTTTATTTTATTTTGCTGTAATTAAAAATGTGGATGTAGGAATTTGGCTGGCATTAACAAGATACACTTGCTTATATGGACTGGAAAATTACCTGTATTTACTAAAGGGATGGCTTCATTTTTCTAGCACATCTTTCATGACTTCTTCCTTCGTAGTCCACGGTTATTAAATAACAAATAGTAGTGTGTTAGCATTTAAAGCCCATCTTCCAACTTGACCAAGCGTACATGTGCATATACATACATGTATATGTATATATATGTATGCACACACACACGTTTCTCTGCCTACATACAGCCAGGTTGGACAGGGATTGGAGCAACATGGTCTTGTAGAAGGTGTCCCTTCCCATGGCAGGAGGCTGGAACTGGATGAGCTTTAAGGTCCCTTCCAAGCCAAACCAGTTTGTGATTCTATGGAAAGCAGCATCAAGACCTACACCAGCTGAAGAGAGTCACTTTGGTTTGGGGAGTAACGGCAGCCTCTTTTCAGCGAATCCTTTAATCCGCTTTCTCCTGTGGTTGTGATTTCGGCAACATCCGAAAAGACCAGAAACTTATACGCAAAGTTTTAACCATACTGGCAACTGCCCCCCGCCCATGCCCCTCACCGCACCTCAGCCTACCACTGCGTTCAACTTCCGCTTGGGCGGGGCCTATGCTGCGGCCGCCGCGCCGCACCGCACCGCGCTGCGCCTCGGCCCGTGGGAGGGGCCTGCCGTGCGGGCGGAGGTGGCTTGGCCGCGCGTGGCTGTTGAGCCGCTGGGTGGGAGTCTGGTGGGCAGGCGGCGGCGAGGAGGATGAGGCGGGTGTCGGAGCTCGGTGCCCAGGCACTATCGCAGCCGTGAGGCGCCTCGGAGCGCTCCTTTCTGCCGGCGCGGTTAGGCCCGAGCCGAGCTACCGCGGCCGAGGAGCGAAGTGAGCAACAGGTGGGCGCTGTGGCGAAGCCGGCCACGTTAGCTGGCGGCGGGGGGGCCAGGGCCGGGGCCGCGGAGAGAGAAGGGAAAATGGCGGCCGGCACGTGTCGGGGTGGGTAGGGGTGATCCATGACTCCATGGGGGCTGCCGCCTGTGGCTGTCTCCCTTCCTAGGCATGGAAGAGCAGTTCCTTACTAATTGGCAAAACTTCTACCCGCTTGTGGGTTTTAGTCGTTGACTGTAGCAAGGGACAGCCCGAGTCGGCCGATGTGTGGGGCGCCGTGGCGTTGGCCCTGTAGTGTTTGTTTGTTTTGGAGCGGTTTTTTGTGTATTTGTTGATTTTGTTCGGGGTTTTGGGGTGGTTTTTTTTTGTGTGCAATAAGTAGAGCACAGTTTTCAAACGTTTTCTTTTTTTTTTCCTCCTCCTTCCTCAGGGGGGCGGAAGCTGAAGCCTGGAGATGCATCTGTTACTGAAGAACCTTCTTAAAAAAACTATGTGACTGGGTATGTGTTACATAATACGCTCTTAGAAGTGAGGTTTTGGGCAGGAATAATACTGTTTTTTATAGTTTAGCGACTGAACTACTGAGATGTGCCTATTGAAATCAAGGTTTGGTGCTTTGTTGCTTCTTTGGTGTGTGTACTTTATTGGCAGAAAAATTACAACCGAGTGTATATGGTAGCGTGACTGAGAAGGATTGGGCCGTGGTGGAGATGCATTAGATATGCTGGGGAGAGTGGTTTGTGATAAAAAAGTATGGCATGACGCTGTACTCTCGCCTGCAAATCTAGAGGTATTGGATTCCACAGATTTCTTGGGGATCACTGTGCCAGGGAAGTGATACAAGAAAAGGCCAGCATCCAAACAGCATGGGGTTAACTTTGATCCAAGATAAGGAACAATGTGTTGCAAGATAACAGGAACAGCCAGTATGTGAAAACAGGAAATACATTGTCTGTAAGACCAGTCACTCAAGAAAGAACCGGTTCTTACTAGCCCTGTGGTGCAAGTTAGGAGGAGCAATCCCCTTTGCACCCGGCGCCGTAATAACCGTTTTACAGATTTACAGCTCTCCTTGAGTTAGTCTGTTTCCGTGCATCAGAAGTGTCTTTCAATAAACACGTTTCTGATTTAATGAAGTGAGTATGAATCTGCAGAGGGAGGTGTCAAGAAGATACTAAAAGTTTTGTTTTGGAGCAGTTTACAACTGCTAGGAGCACATCATACGGTTCAGTGATGTTTGCTGTGTTGTATGTGTTTCCAGTAGGAAGATTAAACAGCTTCAAACTTGTTTTTACAGGGGAAGAACACTCTTGAGCTGTCGTGACAGAAGAAGATGGGGCTAAATTCCACACATGAATTATAGGAGTAACTGATCAGAACTTTCTAATTTTTACTTAGGGTAGGGTAGATCTGTCTAATCTTCTGGATTTGATACCTTTCACGAGCAATAGTATTTCTGGTTATCAAGCAGAGATAGCAAATGCTAATTTTAGTCTAGATCTTAATCTCACTTTAGAATTAACAGAAATTAACTTTATTTAAAAAAGTTCAGCCTAAATGAGAGATTCTGCAGCCCATCTGTCCTTATTACAAAGAAGTGCTGGAATGCAGCTTGCTATGGCTAAGATTAGCCTTGATTGCTTCTGTACAAATGCAGCTAGGATGACTAGCTTGTTTTATGCTGCTTTTAGGGATCTTCCACTGCTCCCGTCTTTGGGCTGTTGCAAAGTCTTCTAATAATGTTCTTGGTAGTTTCGCGGCTGTGATGTGCTCTGTTACGTGGCTGATGTTGCCACAGTACTATTAGATCCAATCATGGGCATATTTAGTGGTGGTGCTTTTGCTGTTCAGGTGTGTTAGAAAGGTGGCTGCAAGAAGTACACTGCATAAGCTGAAGGTAAGTTTGTGAAGTCTAGAGAATGAATGTGATATCTACAGTCAATGTAAATCAGTCAAATGTATGAATAAGTTAATAAAGAGACATCAACTTTGACTGCAAGTGTTGTCTTTTCTTTGCAAGACTACTGATAACCAAGACTAGGCATACATGTGTTCTTTGGAATTACTTCTACAACTGTGGGGGATACAGGTTTGATAGCTGAGCCTGAAGTTTGTGACTCTGTGCTTTCAGGGCAAATGTTGCTGATGTTGATCAAGTTGTCTGGGCACCATGCCAGAAGTCACTTGATTTTAATCAGAGGTTACTGCTGCAGGTCAGAAACAGTGACTTTGCGTGTAGCTGCTTGTTCAGTTCCAGCTGGTCAGGGATCTTCTGTTTAATCCATATTCAAGAAAACGATATGCAGAGTTCCACTGCAGACAGGACATGTTTTACTTGTAAGTAAATTTACTGTCTTGGCTAATAAGCCATACTGGCACAACCTCTTGAGGAGTATCTTCCAGTTAATAAGGACATATTTTGCAAATTGCTGCAAACTGGAAAGTTAGGGGGCAAGGGGAGCTTTCAAAGCGCTGGGGAACAAAACCTGTGAAACTATAGAGCTGGGATCAGTAGGCACTGCAATAACAGCTAAGTGCTTGGCAACTGGGTGATTCCTGCTTGAATGAGGTGGAGTTGTGGGCTTTAATTGCAATGTGGATTAGGTCTGAGGAAATTACTTCTGATGATCTTGTTATTCAGTTTGCAATAATACAGTAGGGAGATCATGGAGCTGTTACAGGAAGCTTTTTTTCTTTTCCTGCCATTGTGACTGTAGCTGAATGTATAGTCTCTGTGGAGCTGTAAGAAGTGGTACTACACCTGTATTCATTGGTGGTGTGGGATTATTCTTTTAAATAGCTCTGCATGCAACACTCTCATATGACATTTTTGTTGCTTGGGATTCCAAGTTTGAGACTGCCAGCCTGGTAGTCAGTAGTCATGAGTGTCTACTGAATTTCTTCCATGAAGATTGGACTTTGGTAGTAACTTCAGTGCTTTCAGGAAAATAACATCTGTCTGTTCTACAAGGGCACTTATGTGCTTATCTTACACAAGAAAAAATGCTAGGCAGACAGTGGCAAGAGCAGTTCTGCTGTTATCCTGGAGTCTGCAAAGTGGCTTCCTCTTTCAGATAATTTTGGGATTTTTTGTGTCTGGCTTTGACCCTATGAAGAAAACTAGGTATAAGCAAACGGACAGGAAGCAGCAGGAGAAAGGGTGGGGATCAGTTTCTTTGCGGATCTGGAATGCATTAAAACAATACAGAATACAAAACTCAAGAATGTGACGTGAAGGTTTAGAGAAAACAATTTTTCTTCTGTTGTCAGTGAAAAGTTCAGGCTTTCTGGTGTTGGGTTTTATATACTGTATGGCATCACACTGATGTGGTCATCTGATGTGTTACCCCAGTATCCTTGAATTTGATCTGACAGCATTTATGTATAAACTGTAATGTTTGCTGTGGGTATATCATGCTTAGTGAAGTGACAGCCTTTCCTATGACTGAAGCTTCCTGTGTACATCCAGTCACATGCATAGAAGGTAGTGAAATCTGCTTTCCCTCATTACTTGAGTACAAGAGGTATTCTTACAAGATGTGCCTTTTTTATTTCCATGTGGTTTAGGATGGCTTGCTTTCGTTAAATTCAGAAATTTAAATTCTCAAACAACTGTTTTCCTATCTTTCAACCTATTTCTGTCACATCTTGGCTCTTAACCTTTATAGGTGCTCCTTATTTTTCTGCAGTTTGTTCCATCTGCAGTTACATCCAGTGCCCTTCACCCCTCACAACCTTCACCAAGTACAGTCTTTATTTTCTTTTACATTGCTACAAAGGTAAATACTTATTTCCAAACTCTTAAGCCATCTTTTCCCTGTTTGTGGTTGCTTGATGTTGCATTTGCAGGAAGCCACATGATCAATTTCTGTATTCTGTGCTAAATAAATGGAATAGGAACTATGTCATGTGAGCAGATGTCTAATGTGTATGAGATAGGTCTGGTCTCCACTAGCTCGGCTAACTCAAAATACCCAGCACCCTGGACCACAAACAAAAAAACTTTTTTCCTCATGTGACAAATGTTTTCTGGGAGGATCTCCTACTGGGACCTACTACTTGAATCTGATTGTTTCAGCTTTGTATGTTTGTGCTCTGCAACTACCACTCTAAAATTGGAACATGAAAATCTCACTGAGTATAAACTAGCACTTGGAAGTGTGAAATAGTTGCAGTAACATTGAAAATTATGGGGAACATTGATTCAGGGCTGACCTTGTTAAGTATAAGCTATTATCCTGCTGTGATTTTTTTCTGGAAATGAGACATCTGAGGTTGTAGATAATCTGCATATAGTGATCATAAAATGGGGTCTTGGTTTATTTGTGGCTTATGGTCAGGTGCATCTTTGGGAAGTTTTTCGTCGTTGAGATGAATGCATTTGTGTGTCAGCTGCAGTAATGCTTATTTAGTCTGTTTCTCTGGAAAATGGAACTGGGAAGTTCAGGGGGACTGCATCTAAATCTTCACAGTGGTGGAGAACCTGGATAGATAACATATTTGTGTTTAAGATAGTAACAGAAGTGCTGAATCTTTTCTTGGCTTATGCTGCCGTTAACACTGTGGCACATCTGTTTAACACAAAACTCTAAGCATTAGGCAGGTTTTTCTGCGACCTTATGTGTATTGAATATGTTGGCCAAAGGGGAGATC